TCTGCTCAAGTTCAATTGCCCGGCCATGCCGTCGCTAGCAGCTTGACTAGTCAAAGCACAGAAGCACCTACAGCAGTTAGATGACCCTACCATGTGCAGACCGTTTTCAGTGTAGAACTCACAGCTCGACGGACTCTCGCAAGACGGACTCTGCGGGCGAGGTTGGTTCGATGGGAATAGGAGTCTGCCGCCTTGATTTGATCCAGCGCTGTAGATGCTTGGACCTGCACGAGGATGCTGCCGGCCCACATTTCTACGCAAGCTGCCATCATCCGTAATGCTGTGGCTGCTTGCTAGAAAGTGGTTCTCTTGACACTGATCTACTAAGTTTACTCGGTTTGCGCACTCATGCGTGTAAAAGACTCATTGGCTTGCAGAAGGCATGGTTACATGCGTCGTTGCGACGCTCTGAACGTCTTTCGACCAAGGCTCAAATACTTTGGACAGCCCTACGAGTGAAACCTACACAAACCGGTAACTGACCATTCGACATGATGCCATACTTCCCCTAACAGGACACGCAACACAACCACGACCAAAGCAACACCCCAATCCACACACTTACACGTACTAGCAATGTGGCTCGAGGCACCTGGCAGGCTGAGAAAAAACAACTTTCGAGAATTAGCCGACAATGTGGCCGCAACTAAACAAACAGCCGCCAAACCACTAAACAAACAAACGCCCAGAATCTTCAGCCGATTTCCATGATGCCACTTGATGCCTATGATCACTTTTCTTCCCACTAGTGTCTCTCATAGTCTCACAACTCTGCCTAGCGACAGCATCTGTACGTACTAATACATGTGCGAACAATCATTGTGCCCCGCAATCTCCGAGTTAAACACAGCAAGAAAGAAGTATCCATGTCCGAATCGAAGCAAGAGATAAGACTCAAGGACCGTGCAGGCCCGAACCTTGCACTCCACGAGGGTGCTTCGCTGATCAGCCAGTTCAGCTTTGTGGTGCACGACCTAGCAAACAAGGAGTCGTTCTTCCAGTTCTTCATAGTCATTTCGCGCAGCAAGCATTCCAGGCGCCCGAGTCCATGCATGTTTGCTGGTCACCAAGATGCTTGCAAGTTCAGTTGAGATGTACACTGTACACCGCAACCGCTACTCTTCATGTGCTGGTATAATCGTGTATTGCGAAAGTCTAGAAGCTCGTGAAGTGCACTGGCACTCACATCCACACCTTGGCATGGAACTCGTCTCTTTGATCCTGCGCAGCCTTGCGAAAGGTGCCAGAAAGGAGTACCGGCTTTTATCGAGGATGCTCTCATGCCGAACGGACTTCGCAATACTTTTTCCTGGTACCTCCCAGAGCCCCGCAAAAAAACCACTTCCCCCCTCACCAGCTCGACTCTCGTCGCCGCCGCCGCTCTGAGCTTTAGAGGCCGTTAAACTAAGTTCACCTCATCCTCTCTCTCTCTTCTGCCGAGACACGGAGAGATTGGCCAAAGCCTCTTCAAGCTGCCTCAAACTGACATGCAAAGGCTCGTAAGCTGTGACTATTTCTGGCCTTCCTCCCGGAAGTTCTAAAAACTCCTGCTGTTGCAAGGTGTTTCGTCACTTCTATCCTGCCGGTCCTAGCGCTGGAAGGGTGTGACAAAGCCGGATTCCGGAACTGCCCCTGGCGCTCATGGCGGCTGATCACATGTCTCAAACTCGCCCCCTCATGAGGCGATGCCAGTTGATCACCCGCCCCCTCATTACGCGAGGCCCGTTGATCACATATCTTAAACAAAGGCTCTCATATGGGATTGCGACTGCCTCCGTCCCACTGTACTTCCCCCTCCCTCCACTTCACAGAAATGAAGAATCTGAAAAAAAAACTGCATTCGGAACAAATCTGATTGGATTTTTGGATTGGCATGTCCTCCCGCCCTGACTGGCTAAACAACAGACCTTACGAAAGTTGACTCGAAGCTACCATCTGTCAATGCTAGCATTGCATCAGAAGAGAGACTCGCACGAGCTCAAGCCATAGCTTCTGATGCTTGCTGCGGGTCAGTGCAGCACATCGGCTCAGAAGTCCAGGGCTCACCAACCGCGGCACACAACGAGCGCGAAAGAGGGTGAATTGAGCCGCAAGAACCCTTGAAGCTGGACTCTCTGAATCCTCATCCCTAAACCCAACCCCAAATCCTAAACCCGAAACCCTACTTAAATCCTAAACCCTGAAACCCCAAAAGACTTTGAGGCCAAGGTGCGCTTCTATCGCGGAGGCCTGCGCACTCTCCCCCACCATCTCAGTCCGAAGCTCGGCCTCTGCCTGCATTGAAGGTGGTACACTATACTACTTGTATATATCTTAAAGTAGAGCATAGTCACAGTCAGTATAGTACATAAGAGTAAAGTATACTCTGTGCAACTACCGATATTCTTATGACTATCTTCTGTTATGACCACGACCATTACCACCATCAAAACAAACAAACAAACAAACAAACCGAACAAACAAAAGGCTCAGCAAGCAAGAAAGAACGAACGCAAACACACAAACAAACAAATATGAATGCAAACACCGACAGCAAGAGCAGCAGCAAGAACAAGAACAAGGACAAGTCTCGCCAGGCGCACACACATCAACGCGAAAGTGTTCGCTCCTACCTAACACAACATGCAACTGGCACAGCGGACTCTTTTTTCCTCGTCCCACTGGCTGGAGTGCATTGGATGTCTGCCCGGGGCGGAGTCCTCTGGACCCCCCCTCCGAACAGCGCGATTTCGCCGGGTGGGAGAGGTGGGTGCTTAGGTGCAATCGCAAACCCTCTTTACAACTCATATCGCACGTGCGCTTCCACTACGACTTGCCCTAACATGCAACAACAACAACAACAACAACCATAACCACAACCACAAACGATATACTTCATCGGAGCAAGAACAGGCACGGCACATAAGCGCCAACGCTGTCATCCGAGTGGGAGTCACAGTAAGACCGCAGTTTCGGTCGTCATCACAATCACCATCAAGAATCATCAACTGAGGAAGAACAACACAGAGACGGATCCGTCGCCTCGGTGAGCTTCTTGGCTTCTTTCTCGGCTTTGCCCTGAGATCTGGAAGAAGCGCCCCGGCTTACCAACGCGGAACAGACATGTCCCCACTTGCCCCGCTCACCCCTGGCCCCACTCGGCCATTGAGCAGTGATATGACCATGCTCGGATTCTGCAACCTCACGATTCTGAAGAGGGTCTTGGCCACTATACCCACGCGAATGACGGGACCAACACATATGCCGAGGCTCCAGTTTCGCTTCTTCCAATTTCACTTTCTTCTGGTCGAGGCGCCGTGCGACCGATGCCTCGGCAAAAACATGCAGAAGCCAAGGTGCTTGTCAAATGTATTCGCGTCTGCATGCATGTATGTATGTACGTACATAGGTGCGGGTATGTGTGTGTGTGTGGGCATGTATGTGCGTAATCGCGCGCATGCTTGTAAGCTGCATGTGTGTGTATGCATGCATGTATGTAGGTACGTGTGCATGCATGTATGTGTGTGCACATGCCTGTATGTGTGTGCACATGCGTGCATGCACATATATATGTATGCATGCATGTATGTGTGTATGTATGTATGTATGTATGTATGTATGTCTAATTGGTTGCATGTCTCTGTGTGTTTGCGTGAGTTGCTGCTGATGTTTGAGCTTTCCGGCTGGTGTACCTAGAGTAATTGTTCTATGTCCAAAGGTTGGACCCCGTCTTTCGCATGTCGTGGCTGGCAGCTGCATAGTTTCCCATAGCAGGGTTTGGACGGGCTTGTGGCCGACACAAAGCATACGGGCAAGTGGCGGCTTGGCTTGGCTTAGGCTGCTGGTTGCTGCTGGTTGCTGGTGCTTGCTGGTGCTTTCTTGCTGCTGACTGCGGGCTTGGCGTCAGAGAGGGGGTATGGGCTCCTGCCCTGCTAGCGAAAGGCTTCAGCCAAGCACGATACATCCTCCTTGATTGCATTACCATTTCCGCAAGAGTCGCGAAATCCACAAATCCGAGAAGGCAGCAAGCTAGCAAAAAAAGGACAAATGCAAAACCACTCCCATTAAAAAAAAAACAAAAAAAAACATATGCACGTGTAAACATAGTTATGTATTATACAACAAATAATAAACAAACAAACAGGTATGTAGAATCATCCACGAAAACCTGCGTCCAGGCAGTGGAGCAGATGAGACCAAGAAGCCACCGCGTCGTGAGCCATTTTCTCCACCATTTGCCTTAGGAAACAGGGAAAAAGCAGCAAACATAAGAAGAAATGGCAACTCGACGATACTGCACCGAAGTTTGTTAAATATGCTGCCGGCTCATAAAATGTGCAGGACCTTCTCCTCATCATTTTGCATCATGTCTATGTTGTATCATGCACCTCTTATAGCATTGTAACTGCAGCCTCTCCCAACCCCTTGACATCCTGATGTCCTTAAGTTAACTTCTTACCAGCTCCAAGACGCGAATCCTTCAGGAGATCCTCGTAGTAACTGTCCAAGGCCTGGCCAGAAGTCGCAAGCAGCCCTAGAATAATAGGCAAGTGTAGCTTGTCCTGCGCCAGGACACCACATCCCGTGTCAGCTGAGCAAACTGCAAGTCTCAGGGCTGCTGTTTAAACACAGAGGCAACTCTTCCAGCAGATTTTGCCTAGATTGTCGTGCCGGGCAGTCTTGCAGCTTCCCTCACGAGACAGGTCCTTCGGGCAACTCGCAGCCTGAAGCTTCCTCCGCTTAAACGGCTTAAACCCTAACTCTGACAGAGAGGTGCTGTGGTCGAATTGGAAGCGCCACGGATCCTGGGCCCTGTCGGCTGAGATCTCAAAGCCCTTGCAGCGCCCGAGCCGCTCAGAACATGCCGCGCTGGTCTAGCAGACTGCGGTGTCGTCGTCGTGGCAGCAGGACGCAGTGGACCGGCTCCCAGTAGCGCAGAAGAGGCTCACAGGCGCTTATCTGTTGCCCCTGGGCTGCCGAAAGCTCAACTTGAAGCTACGAGCCACAAGGTTCATCAGCGACTACAGCACAAACTCATCGAAGGCGTAGTCGGCGAAGCCCCACTTGTCATCCAAGCCTGTCAAGATGGACTCTGGTGCACATGTTCGTTCGGTCCGGTCAAGTGAAAACTGACACCGACTGAGCTCTTGATTGAATTGTTGCACGACTCCGACTCCGTAACTCCGCGCCCGCGCTATGCCCAAGGCGCTTTACTTGGGCTTCCCAGCACCACGCACTCGATCGCCCTGCTGCAACCAGCTTGAGCTAAGTGGCCAATCTCCGTCTGCATCGGACGAAATGGGTTGGCGCAAACCTCCTTAAAGTTGTGGTCCGTGATGACCCATCTGGTGCTGGCACGGACCCGATTTATGCCTGGGCTATCGAGGAAGTATTTCGACTCTCGCACTCGCACCAAGCAGGCAAGGCTTCACGACATATGGTCCATTCCCCAGTTTAGGGTTAAAACTTCTACTGTGATCTATGGCCTAGGGCAGAGGGATGATGGGCTCCTGACGTATACGGTCGAAAAGACAGCGGCGATCAATCTCGAAGCTCGGAGGAGAACCAAGACACCAAGCACCTGTAGCAGTTAAACTTGCATGGTGAGCGATGTTTGGGATCTACAGAAAGCAGATGTGACTCGTGCCTGTCCAACTCATAAACCCCACGTCGACGTCGAATACCGCAACCAGACAAAGACTACTTTCCTGATATTTGGACTCGCGCCAACCCGGGTCAAGCTACGCCGATGGTTCTGATGGACCGTCACGCACGGGGGCTGCAGCACAACCTGCAACGCAACTCCCAAAGCATCCAAGCTCGCAGCTTGGACTGGAATTACGCCACGATGGTGGGAAAGTCGCCTGCCGCACGCCAGCAGCGCGCAGTCGACAGTGAATCAGATCATCGGTCTGCCAATTCTGCGCCACCTGCACCAATGCTGTGAACATCTGTGGGAAAGCGGATGGACCCTCACACCTGGGTTTCGGCAGCAATGTCGGGTCAAAAGAGAAGCTTGCGCAACACAAGAGCAAGATACAGTACTCTGCCGTCTTCATGCCCTGGGTACGTATGCATTGGGACGTCGGAGTCATCCCACCCGTCGCACCCTGCCTCCGGATACCCATGGACGGCCAGGACCCAGCGTCTACTTGTAAGCACAAAGTCCCCGCTGCCAGGCCAGTAGAAAGGTCGGTGCTCGAATTCGCCTTGGGCAACGTCTTGTCCTGACTCCATGCACACCATGGCGTCGTCCTCGGTTCTGCCAGGCCGAAACGTGAGAGCTAGCTTTCGCAGGTTTGCCTCTCTGCCACAACGTGCCTGAAGCCTTTTGCGTCACTCTTCGGGAACCGTATTGTGAACCCCTTGGCTTCAGTGATTTGCAAGCCAAGGCTCTGGATACTTTTCTCTCAAATCTGCCAACTCCAAGTTCATGTTGTTGACCAAGTCCTGCAAGTCTCTGGCAGACGTACATGCTGAAGGTACCCAAAGCCTCAGGCACTTGTATGCATTTTATGCCCACAACCGCGCCTCCCGCGAGAAGAGCCAATCGAGCAACTCGTTCGCAGTCATGCCCTCTGTCTCGGGACATGTCACATCATACTCCATGTAGGCAGCACGATAAACCACATCGGGCTGAAGCTCTCTCCTGGCGATAAACATCACCTGGACGAGTCTTCGCGCTCTGACTGACAGTGTGCTTCGCATGGTTATCTCGTGTCTGCCAATATCTACTGTTCCTCACATAGCCACTAATTCGGCCCAAGTCGCAGTAAACGGACTGAGAATGTTGTCTATGTTCGTCTTGAGAATGAACTGTCCGCGAGCGCGGCGGAACGCTATGTTTTCTGCCGTATGCTCGAAGATCGGATGTGCCTGCATCAATATGATTCTTCAACCATGTCTTGATCGCACTCTACAGCTGTGTTGTACCCTTTCTTCCCCCTGCCTTGTGGTGAGGCATGGACATGTGAATCGATGTGGGCACATGGATTACCCGGATGGGCACGCTCTCTCCACCGGGCTCACGCGTGATGGCTTCCCGCATGTGGGGTTCGTGCAGCGGCGGATTCCATTCCTTGGCGTGGGACAGAAACAGACTGCCTATCATCAGAGGTCCTTGATATTTCATCCCTGTACCAACTGTACTACGGCAGAAGGATGCGTTCGGCAAATTGCGAACCTAGCGACCACGACAATGATCTCAGCTGGCACTTGAGCTGAGTGGAGCATTGTCGCGGTTGTTGCCAACATTCGGTTCAAGCGAAGGAGCATGTTGCCTGCCAGGCAGATCTTTTTCAGCCACCCTCACGCTACCAAGCCAGGCCGATAATGTCTGTGGACTACAGGTGCAGGCAAGGCTTGCCTCCGTAGTCGTCGTTTCGGCATTGGACGATCACAGTGAGATAGATATCCTCCTCGATAGGTGGTTGTGCCCATGGACTTCAACCCACCCCTGTGTTGCATGTCCGGGATACATCCTTCCGGCAAGAAATGTCAGAGATATGAGACGAAAGAGTCTGCTCATGGGGCCTTGGCGGCCTTGGTATTGGTGTGGACAATGCCAAAAGGAACAACCCCACGTGAGAAGGTAAACGCAAGGTGATATTCTCCATCAATCCACAAGGATCCAGTCCGTAACCTGATTTGACTTGAATTTTAAGTCTGTAGATGTTGAGATGCGCATAAGTTACATAAGTTACATAAGTACATGCGAACAAACAAACAAACAAACAAACAAACATACATACATACATACATACATACACACACACACATGCATGCATGCATCCATCCATCCATCCATCCATCCATGATGCCATGCCATGCCATGCCATGCCATGCCATGCCATGCCATGCCATGCCATGCCATACAACACAATCGAATAGAATGCAATACAATACAATACAATACAATACAATACAATACCTACATACATACATACATACATACATTTTTTAGCACATACATACATACATTTTTTAGCACATACATACATACCTACGTACATACGTACATACAGACAGACAGACAGACAGACATGGAGACACCTGTATGCAGGTAAGTGTGCAGGTATGTAGGCAGGCAGGCGGGCAGGCAGGCAGGTAGTGCATGCAGACGGCTTTAGTTGGGTTCGGTCAATAAGCGCGCAAAACGTGCATATGTCCGTACATGCACGTCTATACTGATCGTATGATGAAGACCTGCGAGATGCTGCCACAACAGTTCGCCAGGAACCAGGCCGAGAACCCAAGGTCCCCAAAACTCCAACTGATAAGGATCCCTGCATCCCTGAATGAGGCACCCCGAAGTTCCTGCAACTCCCATATGGCTGGTGCTGTTTTCCAGACTTCGGAGTGTCGAAGCCTTGAGATGGCAGAACCCCTGAGACGGCCAGTGAGAGTATAAGTAGAAGTGTTTTTCAGAACTCTATAGAAACCGCAACAGTATCTGCATGACCCTTCACACAGATCGGACTACATGGAGTAGGGGATAGATGCAATGCGAAAGTCATCAGCCGACAAGCTTTTTATGGCACCACTTTGGGGCCGCTTCCCTGATTTTTCGGCTTAGCTTTGCACACTTGGTTTTTCTTGGTTTGCAGTAGAGCTGACAGGCTAAGGGGTTTAGCTGTTTTGGAATTGAAGGAAACCCTCTGGCCTCTGGCAACTCGAGGGCAGTCTCGGGAAGCGCCGCACGACGCGGAGCTGGAAGTGCAAATCGGCTTCCAGAAGCCATCTCCTTGCGGACACTCCGCCTGAGGGCCAAAGAAAATTTTCGGGGAGGCCGAACCTGTCATTCAGCCATGTTTTGGGGGTAGCTTGCTTGGCTGCGAAGCTGGTGAATGTCGTCCGAGCGATCGGTTGCAGCCAGTCATCAGTCTGGCACTAGTGTGGTCCAAGAAGCAGCAGCTGCCACAGTGGCCATCTGGTCCTGCACCATTCACCTATGGGACCTATTGTCCTCAAACCGCTTGGACTTGAAGGCTGCCGCCTAACTTTTGGTATATCTGACATCCAAAACCTCAACCAGCCTCGGGTCCTCAGAAGGTCCAGAGCCCTGGCGCCTTGCGAAGCGCTTGGCCCCTGTTTGCAGCAACTCACTGTCAAGCATTCGGTGTGTACTTCGTGTGTGCTTTAAGTGCCGGGTCCCCTATCGGGCTCTGCTGGGCATGTGACTTGCCGGAAAGTTACGTGGTGTTCTTTCCTGTAACAAGGCAACAGCGAACAACCAACTTCCCCAAAGTGGAATACTGTGTTGGCGAACGCTCACCGCCTGTTCCACATGTTGCAGAGCCAGCCCCTGCCTAGGTGCACAGGTCGTTTCACCAAGGTTCTTTTCGCCCCATTCTTGACTGCCGAATCTTCCCAGTGAAGGCCAAATGTCGAAGACTTGAATGACCTCCTGGCTTCTTTGCGACACCCAACAAAAACATGGAGTCTGCTCGATGCCAAGGGGCGCGAACAGCAAAGCTCTCCGAACACGCATCTGGTGCTCACCCCCGCTGGCAGCTGCAGCGAACGCTGTGACGTCTGCAGCAACTAGGAACCTCAGTAACGCATTGGGATCCTTCGTATCCTGGGCCATCAAGCTCCAATTCTAGGGGTTTCGGGGCTTCCTTCACAAGCGAAAAGTATTCAAGAAGTCTCGCTCTGTAGCAGCATTTACCTATCTAGTTGTCTGCATTCGCCTGTCCCTCTGTGATTCGGTAATGCATCTGGGTATGTATTTCCAGTTTGTCCGCTTCTCTTTGTGACTATGACTATGAGGTAGGTAGGTAGATAGGTAGGTAGGTAGGTAGGTTGGTTGGTTGGTTGGTCAGTAGGCAGGGAGGTAGGGAGGTAGGTAGGTAGGTAGGTAGGTAGGTAGGTAGGAGAGGCGTAGATGGGTGGGGTGGGTGGGTGGGTGGGGTGGTGGATGGGTAGGTAGGTAGGCAGGCAGGCAGGCAGGTTAGGTAGCTAGGTTTCAAGCGCGTGTCTACGTACTGGCGTGAGTGTATATCAGACAGACAGACAGACAGACAGACAGACAGACAGACAGACCGACACCGGACCAGACCAGACCGGACAGACAGAGTGGCCTCTCCCGTCCATCCATCCATCCATATGTACAGTGAATCCTTCCATCCATCCATGATGCATACATACAAGAAAACCCACACACACACACACTCACGGACACACACACACACACATACATAAAAGGCGCGCCATGCTAAACATGTTTCACGCATGGGCAGAGAGACAAGAAGACAAGTAAGCACATAGATTTTGAGGCCAATAGATGTGAAGCATCCCGGACCATGCAGGCCTCCAGGATGCAGGTCTCATGAAGTCGGCCAAGGCACAGCGAGGAAATCCCCAGTAGACACACAGGCTGCTGGCGCATGCGCCGGGCAAAGAATTCGGCCCATTTAAATTCCTTGGAAACGCGGTGCAAGCCGTCTGAGTTTTCGGGTGTTCGATTCCGCCCTGCATGCTCCCGCACCTTTCGGGCTTAAGATTTTCGATTCTCACACTTGCACAAGACAGAGTGCCCGCAACCACACCACAGCCCACAGTGCCGCAGCGCGCGACAGTACAACTATGCAACTTACAATCATAGTGAATCATAGGGCTTACATGCAGACCACGGGGGCTCCGTGACACGTTCGGTCTCTCAGCACAACCCAAACCCCACCAGCATCAACAGACCATCCCGAACAAGAAACCCTTATCATAGAACCTCAAAACACAGGACAGGCCCAGGCGCCCGAGCCTGATTGCAGCTGTCCCTTTACGGTCTGATTTCTACGAAGTGTCCCACAACGAAGTCGGAGAGATGCACAGCGAACGGAAGACACTGCCACATGGCTTCTCTCCTCTGGCCCGGGTGCCCAAAAAGCTCGCCGGAACAGTGTGGCTCTTGTTCAAAATCGCGAAACGAAACTCTGACTGGAACCCTCTGCAACTTTTGTGGAGGGCCAGCGTCAGAGTCAGAACCCTTGCGGCATACCCTTGCCTGCCTGGCTGCCCTCGGGCTTACACTCTTACACGACCAACTCTTCCAAGTGCAGCTTGGGTTGGCCTGCAACCGGACCGCCGTTGATGATTGGGTTCTCAATCTGGCACTGGTTAGTGCCGCGCTCAATCTTGAAGAAACCGTGGTCTCCCCAATCGGCGTTCCAGCTGTTGGCCACCAGCCAATAGGGCGTGCCGTTCTCGGTGCCCCAACCGAGGATCTTGATGGCATGGCCACCCAGCATGGGATCTTTGAAGAAGAAGCCGGCTTTGTAGACACCGGACTTGTACGACAGGAAGCTTCGGTGCACGAAGAACATACCGGTGATGGGACCATTTGTATAGATCTCCTGCTGCATCGCTTGCGCGCAGTTTGTGCCGCTGCCCTGCTGGCACACGCTGTATCCACCGGTGCCGTAGTGCTTGCTGCTGCTCCAGTCTGCACCGTTGTCCACACACTTCCTCGCGCAGGAAGGTGCAGGCTCCTCCCCTGTGCAGTTCTTGTAATGCGGTGACACCGAGTGGTGCGCGCAGGGCTGCATCTGGTAGGAGTAGCACATGGACTTGTCACCGTAGTTTCCACCATCCACGATGCCCACAGACTTGTAGTAAGTGTAGACGGTGGACGGGATCCCACCGTTGCAACCCATGTCACCGAGGTTGCAGCAGCTGGTGACGTCCTCGGCGGAAAGGTGGATCTTCTTCTGGCCTTTGCTGGCGATGCAGACGCGATCCGTCATGGCCTCCACGCTTCCGAAAGCCCAGCAAGATCCACAGTCCGCCTGATCGCGGACCTCCTTCAAGCTCGGGCAATCTTGTGCTCGCGGGTCCGTTCGCCAGTCAAACTCCGCTGGCAACTCGACATCCTCGGGAGCCTTGTAGGGAAGGATGCTGCCGTCCAAGTCTTGCAAGGTGCCCATGAGAATCTTGGCGTCTTTCAGCGTGGCACCTGTGAAGCGGATGTTCTCGCCGGCCGTCCAAGTAGAACCCTCAGCAGAGTTCACGCCATCGATCAAGTCCTGGGAGACAGCCTTCTCCTTCAACGCCTCCTCATCCATCAACTCCCCGTGGCTCTCCCACCGCGTCAGCTTTGCAGAGCACACGGCAACTGCGGAGGCAGCCACCAGTCGGCGGAAAGCCATGGCAGCACAGTGTCAGGGGAGTCGAAGGGGGTCGCGAGAGAGCACAATGCTTGAGCCCAGGTTGAGCAAAACAAGCCACGAGATAATTGCCATGGGATGGGAGCTCGTGCCCTATCGTTGGCTCGCGCAGTTTCCGTCAGGGTGCATTCTGCTCCAGCGCCAGAGTCTCGAGCCCGTCCAAACTACGCCGGATTGCATCGATGAAGTCCTGCAGGCTCGAGACGACATGAAGCCGCAAGGGCCCAAGACTGCATCATGGAGGAATTTCTGATTGCGTACAGGTTACTTCGCACTTTCAGAATTTCAGAAACGGCATTTTGTACTACTGCTTGCTTGGTGCTTGCAACTGCTCCACCTTCCGCCAGATGACTGCAGTCTAATCCTTGGAGTGGACAGAGCAATCCGTGCCCTTTTTGAGACTTTCCACCAGTATTTTGTGCCGCTTATCGACCAACTGAATGATGCAATTGTGGTCGGGGGCTGTGGTGCAGCTCGAGTTGGACGAGATTTCCTTTTTTCCTTTCGTTCTACTGCTCGGGAACATGGAATTGTCAGGCTGAGGCGCGTGGTAGTCGCACGGCGTGGTTTGGTCTGGCTGGAACGTCCGGACGATCATCGCATTACTCGGAAAGGCCAAGTCGGAGAACAGCCACTGGCGGATGTGCGACCATCGAACCCAAGGCATCCCATCACCATCAAAAGTGCTGGCTTGCGCTGCAACTGATAGATGACCGGTTTCGATGGATGCCAGCTTTCAGAAGGGACTCAGATCAACTCCGAGGCCGGACGGGAGGAGGAGAGAAAAGGTTCCTGAAGGACAGGCCAGGCCTGAAGCACCCGGCCCCGAAAGCCATCAACAGCCCCCAAACCCGAAACCCTAAATCGCAAAGGCGAGCCGGAGCTACCAGCCAGCACCGTGTGTGACGACATGGGCCCGCCAAAGCAACACACCATTCTCAAAGTACAGCTCAGAAAACAACACTGCGTAAAAGCTGCACCAATTGCAACGAAAAACTGAAGATCGCGATGAATAAGCATGCTAGCCGACACTGTGACACAAGCAGAACATTGGAACCAGCATAAAACAAGCACGCGCAGTCATGACCCTGACAGGTGGTGAGAAACGTCCACTTTCTGGATTCTGCACAAAGCTTTGACCCCGCAGGCCTTGTCTCCACCAGTATTTGCATCATCACAGGTGGACTGGCGCGGAGTCATGGCAGATCAAGCGCCACTTGCATGCTGTGGATCCAAAGTGTTGTTGGGTCGACGGGGCGGAAGGCAATCGCCAATGCCCTGTGTGGGATTACAAATTTTGACCAGGTTCCGAAGGCTCGTCACAGGAGCTAAGGACCCGTCTCTCAGTAAACCGAGCCTCCCCAGGCGTAAGCTCTGCCAAGGACTCGACCAAAGGATCCTCCTCCCTCAGGCAGAAACAAGAGTCTCAACTCGGATGGGAATCACGTTTGAAGGGCCTTGAGGAGCCTGTCCTACCTACCTATGAGCACTTGCACTCCATCTTGGCCTCACGCAACTTTAGACTATCCAGGTAGGCGATAAGACGATGAAAAGGAAAGTCGAGAAGTCAAGCAAAGCTATCTAAACCCATGAACGATGTCGGGGGGGCGAGAGGCCTGCAATCCAAAGCAACCAGGAAGATGAACGACAGTGCTAAACTACGTGCAGAAAGCCTTAGAAGAATAATGATTGCAGTAGGGTGATTCGTGGCAAGTGCCAGATCAAGCCTGCGGCCGCCTGAGGCCCTAGATCCAAAATGGAACCATGTCTCTAACTAACGGACCTATGCCGTTCTTCTCGAATTTTCGGAAGGGGCTTAACCGACTTAATAATCCACACAACCAAGGAAGAGTCCATGCAAAATGCGTTTCGAAGTTCCGAACTACAAGAACTACAAGCATCCCGGATCTTCTGGGTGTCATAAGAAGGCGGCCTTCAGATAAACACAGGGCTTGGAGGGTTTCCGGCTTGTAACACCACGAACAGACATGGAGAACATGAACCCGTTGCTGCACCACAGCTCAAAAGTAGGTGAGCGGCCGATCACCATCCAGCAGACTTGACCAATCGGAACCTCAAGCGTCATGCAACGGCCCGAGTTCACAGGCTTCCGCGCTTGCGAGCCCAAACCCAACACAAGCAACTGTCTAGGAAATGCCCCCAAGGAGAGCAGAGCTACGGAGCAACCAACCAGCAAGAGCAGCCGCATCCGAAGGGAGCCCATGGCCTCGGCTTTTTCGGGGAGTTCGGCTCTCCGTCTTCTGCTCGGTTTTTGCTCTGCCTTCTCGGAGCTTTCGTCCAAGAACTCCCGGGTCTGGTTGGATGATGCAACAGCAAATTCCTGTAGTCCCCCCTCCCCCTCCCACCCCAGCAGAAGACAGCATCAAATGCGCAAGGGCTTTGGTCTCTCGGTCGCTTGGGAGGCGAGTCTCTCCTAGTCCTAGCAGCGGCGCTACCATGCTCGGTCAAGTCCCTTTGGGACGTGTGCCTCGCAACTCCCGGCTCCGCCTCATGACTCCTGGCTTCTTTGCAGATCATCAGTGGCTTACCACAAACCTCCTTGTTTATATAGGGCTTGTAGGCGGAGGTCTATTCGTAAAGCTACGCATTGGGATACTACCTGTCCCCATCTTGGAAGTTTGTGACATGTGCCGTTGAAACCTTCTCACTTGTAGCGATTTTGCTATACGATCACTGCAACGGTGTGGCGGAGTCCGGTGCCGTGCATTTCTGGGCATGATGAAGTCGTTGCCTTCCATGCCAAAGCTACGGTGAAACACAAAATGAGAGGCAGGCCCAGCCATCTGAATCCACAAGATTGAAGAATTAGAACATGCGCCTTGAAGTTCGCAAGTTTCACAGGCTGTTCGGGCCGGCTCGTGCTCAGAGTCTAGTCGAAGAGTTTCGCCAAGGAAGACCGCTGGAACTCTGCATTGTGCACCTCTCGAAACTGGTCCACGACACCCTGCAGCGTCTGGGCAACGGCACCACCCGCATCTCGCATCTCACTCAGGAAATCGACGAGCACTCTCTCCTCGACGCGCGCCTGTGCATTTGCAGCGTCGCTGTAGTTTAAGCGCAGGGTCTGCAAGAGTGTCTTTTTCGAGGCATCCAAAGCCCTCAATGCCAGCGACTGAGGACGGCAAAGCCAAAACCTGCGAATGACATTCACGGCTCCTGTATGCAGCACCGGGTCCAAAGCAGCTACGAAGATGTAGATCTTTACCTTTTCGAAGACTGCAAGCCAGCCGTTGTCAATGTCAACGTCCGGTGCCGGCATACACGAGGTGAGCACCTCGAGATGTTCTGGCTCGAAGTGTGGCAAGTTCTCGGCGCCACACTGCTCGGCCAAAGTCCTCGCCACATCCACGGCCGGCCACTGGTCGGAAATGCAGCACTCCTCGTAGACCCGGCAGGATGTGCCCATAACATAGCGCTTTCGCCGTGATGGTGCCGTACCATGCATTGCCTGAGAATGGGATTCCAGCAGTCGGTGCCGGAAATTCGCCGGATGCCTGAGCAGAGCGGCGACGTAAGCAGGCAACAGCGCAGGGTAGGGCTTCAAGACCTTGGCCAAACAGCACAGACCGATCTGCAGCACCATCTTCGAAGAGCCTTTACCTTCTAAAAGCTCTACCGCGACATTCACCAGGACATGACTGACTTCCGCATCGGCTTGGCCAGGAGCTGCCATGTGCTCTAGAAGGCTGCTTGCCAGGAGAAGTAGCTGACCTTGAACCTCCCACCATTCATCCCGGACGAGGCCAGCGAAGCTGTGCACCTCTTGCAACACATTCTGAGGGAAATTCGGCGACTGGAGCACAAGGCGGAGCATCGTGAGGCCGGCGACCCGCACGCTCGGCTCTTTTCTCTGCAATGCCAGCAATGCATAGTACTGGTAGTGACGGAGCAGGTGTTCGTCATCCAAGCCCACCTCAAGCTCCATGGGAAGCAAATACGAAAGGCAGCAGATGTAGGCTGGCATGCTCTCCATCCCTTCCTTCAGGCCGCGCAGCACATTCAGCCGTGCCAAAGTCTGAGGCTGTGTGTATGCATAGACGACTTCGCAAAGAGGCTCCCGCTTGCCGGCGGTGTCCACCAGGAGTGGGGAGAGACTCGGAAGGATGCCATCCACCAGAAGCTGCTGCGTTAGTATGGCATCAGCCTCACCCATCAGCTGGCCCAGTCGCTTGAAGAAGGTGACGACGCTCTCGAAGACGGGATTTCGCTCGCTGAACTCTACCAAGGTAGGACTCAGCAGTCGCCAGACGCGCCAGAACTCAGCTGGTGACTTCAGTGCAGTCTCGACCAGCTGATGCACTTGGCCCGACAGTGTGTGAAAGACACGCACGACGATTGGCTGCGGCACATGAGTGCGGCACAGCTCCATAAACGAGACCAAGACGTCCTTACGCGGATCCAGCGACTTCATCACCTGATCGTCCTCCTGGAGTATCGCCGCTACCGTTGGCCGCATGATGTCCATTACGGGCTTCACCGCGATGCCCAGGCCCAGCCGTGGGGTCAACGGGCTGTTCTCAACAGCCCCCGTCGCCTTCTGTTGGCTTGTAGATACAGAGCTCTTCTGCATGTTGGCCTGGGCCTGCTGTGCTCGGAGCTGCGCCACATTCCTGGTCAGTGAGCGTGATGAAACTTCGGGGATGTCCAGAGGTATCGCTTCGCCCCGCTCCGAGACGGCCCTGGGAACGGAGCGTTCTGCTGGCCTCTTCTGCCGGGCAGCCTGGAAGATGTGGTAGGCATCTGGACCCGAGGCCCCTGAGGCCGAGTCCCCTCCCACATGTTGCGGGCTCTCCTCCGAAGGCGGCATCTCGCTGGAAGGAGCTTCCAACGGCGCCTCCACGGCCTTCTTCTGACTGGGCGAAGCGCTCTCCATGGTGTCTGGGAGATCCTCACTGACGAAGATCGGCACCGTCCTGTTCGTGAGCAAGGTGTACACCTTGATAAGAAGAGCGACGGCCGTCCCTGGCTGGTTCTCCATGACGGGATCGAAGTCCGTGCGTGAGATGGGGTAGTTGTGCTTGCGGAAGAACCTGAAGAGCTGCTCCCAATTGTCATTCTTTGTGGCCGCCTTGAGACCATTATCGAAGCTGTGCATCGATATGTCCTGCGCGTGATACCTCGAGAAGATCTCGGCTACGAGAAATCCGTTCGAGAAGTCTCGCTTCACGTTTCGGACGCTGTAGGAGAGGTCCAGGCTTTGGATCCACTTCAGGACTTCCCTTGGCAGCGACGTCAGCGATGCTGCCGAGCCTGCCATTGCTCCGGCAGCCGAAATGGCTCGGCCCTAGACGCCTCGGGCTTTGGGTTTTGAGCCTCGACGGCTCTTGCTGGAGCCTGCGATGTGCCTGATAAAATGCGTCTAGCCTCGAAAATCTTGGACAACAGCCAAACAGGTGCTTGCTTCGGCCAAGCTTCGCATTTTCAGTGCCATCTGCTCCACCTCTGGCGAGGGTTGCCAATCCGGTGCTGAAAAGATCCCTTGAACGTGGCAGGGGCGAAGCCAGGAACAAAGCTCCAGAGCTTCTACTGCTGACCGTACTTACTTTGCTTACGGATCGGCAGTAGCGGGCCTTTCCTTGAAAGTTAGGCGGTCCTTCGAATCTGACTTCTCACAGTCTACATATCTGCTGGCAGACCGGAATCATCCATGCCACGCCTGCTGCCGTGCATCGCCAACACGTGCCAATTGAGCGTCAATCCGCGCAACTTCATGGTCGATGTCCTGCGCTTAGGAACCCGACCCACAATTCATGCACGCACAATTGTGCAAGCTTGTATGTAGGCCCTCAGCAGTAGCACGCTTCCCCCACAGGCGACGCGTATGTGCAATTCCAGCTGTCTCATTGCATGAGATGCTCGCGCTCCAAATTGAACTTCAGACTGGCTTCAAGCGGGACACACCATGACCACCTGTCGAGCCCGCCGCGTGACCGTCCATCTGTGCATCGTGCCTCTGACTCGGATGCCACGAAGTCCATGAGTGGAAAGACATAGTCCCCACCCATGCCGAACCTCGGCAAACGACAAGGGGAAAACAAAGGCTGCCAAAGCTCCCGGCACGGCCGGCATGGGTCCAAGTGGCAGGAAGCCCAGTGTGGATTCCTGGCTTGATCTACCAACATGCAAGGGTGCATCTGCCGGAAGAAGCCCTTATGATCTTCACACAACAGACTTGGACATTATCAAGGCAAGCTACACATGTATATTACACTTCCAATGCCGGGCCTCATCCTGTGCTGAGGCCACTCGGCAGCCGTGGTCAAGCAGCAGCTGTAGAAACAGCCATCTAGCGCCGCCCATGGCACCGCTGTGTCTGGCTAATTAGTGTTCTGGCTGCCTCTTGATTTTTCAGTGCAAGAACACGAGGCTGAAGCAACGAGTGCCAGTGCAAATGCTCTGTGCCCTAAATGCCGAAGCATGATACTAAGCCGCAATGCAAGAATTGCCACGGCTGTCAGATCACAAAGAAGAAGCCTCAGGCTCTCCCTTGGGCCTCCTTCTCTTCATGCAGGCGAACCTTCTCCTGTCGTCGAAGCAAGGTCTTCAAGCACAGCAGGTCCTGTAACCTCACACTTCTACCGAGCAAGCAGAAGGCCACAAGCGTGCCTTCTCGGCGGTCTTGCGCAAATCGGCCAACTGAGATACACGCGACAACATTGGCGAGGGTCACGGGCTCGGGCCGACAGCTAAGACTCAGAATCATACCGCCTGCCTGCCTACTTACCTGCCGACCCACGAGCAGATCGATGGACCGACCTTCCTACCTTCCACCTCTCTACCTGCCTACCTGCCTACGTGCCTACCTACATTGACAGATAGATGCGCACAGACATACCTACTTACATACATTCACATCCATACATCCATACATACATACATACATCCATCCATCCATACATACATACATACATACTTTCATTCAGTCCGTCAGTCGAATAGCATTCATTGCACTTCACCCCGAAGTTACGGGAGTGCGGTGGCTCGAGATCTCGTGCTTTCTGCCCGAACCTAGTCCAAACACACCCAAGGCTGGGACGAAGCCTCCGAATCCAGCCAGGCTTACTAGCCGCGGGGAACCAAGCCCTGGCGCTAAACTCTTTGCCCTCAGCCCTTTTCCGTCGGGCCCTTGGGCCGACGGGAACCGTATGCCCACTTCACGAAAACCCGCGGCCCTAAAGCCTAAACCACGCGAAAGCTGGTGCTCAGGGCCCTGCGACACCCCGCAGATGGTCTGCTTCGCCCTTCGCTGGTACGGTCGATACACCGCAACTTCGGGTCACCTCTACTACGTAGTATAAGCATCCATCGTCTATCCGTCTATGCATCTACAAATCTACCTATCTACCCGTGTAGCTAACTATCTGTCTATCGGTCTATCTACCTATCTCCCAGTCTACCTATCTGTCTACCTAGCCACCTACCTACCTACCTACTTGCCTGCCTGCCTACCTACCTGTCTGCCTATCTATCTGCCTGTCCACATGTCTTTGTGTATGTTCATGTGCATCTACTGCTTTGTTTACTTTTCGCGCTTTTCCACCTGGAGACTTAACTTGCCTCTTGATTCTTCAGCTCCCATTAACTATGTATTGGTTGTCTGACATTTATTTTCTCAGACATGTTATACATACATCATACAAAGATATCATATACATACGCAGCAATACGCATGCACATACATGGCATACACTATGGATACTCGATTGTACTATACAGCCATATCGTACAAGGTGTGGTCAAAAGTGAAACAGCATATATATATATATATTATATGTATATATATATAGATTATATACTATAGAGATACATACACAAACGTACACCTTGCCCGGTTGACTGACACTCAGGAGAAAGCCAAGACGAAATGATTTCAACTTTTCTTAGAGGCCAGCTCAGGCATGGCATGAGGGCATGTTTGAGAGTACAGTGCAAACTCTGGAAGGTGCCGATGGCTCCCTCAGCCAACCTGGTGCTTGTGGCCTAGTTGATAAACTGCTGGGCATTGTGGAGACATGTCTACGCAGTTCTGGCACTTAGCGAACCAATGCCATGGGACAGTTTTTCCCGGGAAGGAGTATACACGACAAAAATTCAACCACTTGCGCTGCATGTCATGGTCCTGCCCGTTTGATGTACTCTCAAGTTCTAGCAAGCCCTGCTGGGTCAGAAAGTTGCCAAATCCTGGCTACAAGCGCAAACGGATCTGCACGAAACGTGCAAAACTCATTGCCAAATGCATCCCACCAACAACACGGCAATACATGGCAGGTAAGGTCGCCACAGAACTCACGACATGATTAGCATAGGCCATTCTTCGAGCTTGCGGCTGCCACTTGCACATACCTGCACCTCTTCATTGGCTCGTACACTCGCAGTGTGAAAGCGCCGTAACCTAGAACCCTACAGGCTCTGAATCCGCTAAGGACGGGAAGTTGACCTCGGGCCCTCCCAGCCTTCCACTGCTCCTCAATGGCCTGGCTTTGATCGTTTTATGTTAGACTTCGGGAGTGCTCTCAACACTTGGCTACATGCGAATTTCCGATGCACCTGAAGCTTCCATCGAGTCCCCGCTGAGCTAACTTTTCCGAAAGTTGCATATCCCATCTCAGAATCCTCAAGGGATCTGCAACGTTCCCCCATGGCATAGGCCCGACCTCCAACTCCGGCCTGGGCTGAGAGGGGTTGAGACATGGAGTCGACTCTCACTCGCTCTGGGCTTCCACAGGTCCATTGAGCGCCACAGTTCTTCTGTGATCGAACACAGCTAGTAACCGCCATCACTGCACATGGCTTCGATGTCTGAAGTGGCGGCGTCGTAGTCCCTGGCGACTCTGGAAACCTCCG